ACCAAACAATCCTCCTGTACTGCATCTATCCATTGGAGACTAGATCTTCCTTTTCTAGTGTTACATGGTCTGCCGAGAAGATTTTAGTTAGAATGTTACTGTCGTCGGATAACATGTCCAGCCCAATTGAACCGGCTTGTTTTAATATAACGAGCAACATCTGGCTCTTTGAGAAATTCGTATTTTACGGTATAGCGTCACCTATGTCAAATACCATTTTCCTGAACTACACTTGTGAAAACCTCTCCTGGATTATCTGCGTGAGCTAGAGGTGTAGGATTAACAAAAGGACTAGACGTATCCATATTCTTAATATGTCTTTATTAAGAATTTAAACTTTTAACAGATTAGATGATAATAATATATATGAGAGAATCTACGATGACAAAACACACTATATCAATAATACCGAAATCACGTAACTCGGACCACTACCAATATCTAACCCGCCTAATCTCAATTCCAATAATATCACAAGTCCTAATATTAAATAGTCAATCCTACCTTGATCTGATCGCTGATCTAATCATAAGGGAGTTGCGTCTTTACTCGAGTGCAATGGTATGCACCTTGACCTAATGGCCCTATCTTCGGGATAGCCTCTGTTGGCTGTCAATTCACAATCGTATCACTTTCTATCATAACATTCCCCAAATTGCCACCTCACTTACTGAAACTTCGGATATTTAAAAGCTATCTAATTTGCATCTTATATTCACGTTTCCCTTCTTGGGTTTTGGTTGGAAAAGAGTTGCCATTAATCCTGGCCCCAAAAGAACCCAAAGGACATGTTAATGAAAAGACGCGTGGGTCGGTCACACACTGAAAACATTTCTCAAGACTTTGCATTCAAAGCACCCAAAATCCTTTCCTCCTTATGGTCAAAGTCCAAGTCTCCAAAGAAATGCTGAGCCTCATTCTTTTAAATTGCACGTTACGCTTTGGGAGGATCCGAGACACAGATAAATATAGATATCACCTTCCCCTCACCCCACACACTTCAGACTTGAAGCACAATTACAATTAAAGAGCAGAAAACCGGCAAAAAGCACCGTAGTCCTAGTTGCGGCCATGGACTTCATGGCGACGAAATTCGCGTTGAATTGTAGGTTCAAACCCCACTCTGAACTAAAATCAGATATTTAGAGAGTGAGATATACTGATTGATATGTCGACCGCTGTATCTTTCAAAAGTTTTAAATTTCAAAGTTCGTAACCATTATTATCTTCTAGCCCCAAGGTGAAGTTAATTTATTCGAGTTTTGGTCTTCTCTTGATTTGACGCGTAATCGATTTTAAGAGAGGAAATGAAATATTAGCTCCATCTTTCTCTTCACTTAACCGTGGTTCAAGTTTTGAACTAGAGTCAATGAGTTCAAATCTTGAGGTAGAGATAGGTTTAAGATTTCACGATAGTTTTCTATATAAGCAATGTTAATCAAACATATCAAATTAGAAAGGTGGGATTTTGAGATTGAATTTTACCACAGATTACCAGAATAAGGGGAGGGGGAAGACAACATTTGATCCCTTGGTCCAACTTGGTTTTTAAGCTCTTTCTGAGAATAAAATAGAATTCAGAAGGATAAATCTCCTGATTAGCTATCATCTTTGGTAGTTGGTATTCACTAGGTTGATAAAGCAACCAGTTCTGGATAAAGAGTTGCAGATTCAAATTCTTTTTTTATCAAAGAAATGCCGTTTGGAATAGCTGAAATTCATGCAAACTAAATCCAATGGCATCAAAACTTTTGCAAGGAGGAGTTCAAAAAGTGACATGTCAGCTCAAATACAGTTGTTGTCATTTGAAAGAGTTTCAAACCTACAATAGCAAAAATATCCAGTTACTTATTGTACAACTCCACATTAATTAAAAACTAGCCGATTATATTTTAAAGGTTTTCTTCTTAGAAGTACAGATAACAAATTCCACTGCAATCGATCTAACTGTTAGGACATAGCCAGTGGCGTAAC